ACGCCATTGGCTACACGGGTTCAACCGAAAAAAAATCCTCCCACTGCACTGCGTCACGCACACCTTTTCCTTCCCCAATCTCCTCCCTGCTGCAACATTATTTCTCCTCTCCAGCAGATCTTTCTCCCACCATAACTGCTTGCACCCTCTTCAACCCCACTAAAACGCATTGCATTGCTTTGTATCCCATGATCCATACCACTGCCGTCACCCCATGTCATGCTTCATCAACATGGCCAGCCATCACATCTCCCTGACCAGCCGCAACTCAGCTGTTTCCATGATTCAATCTGCTACGTTTCTTGCTTCATCATTCACCTTGCCTGACCAGGCCAGCTCGGCTGCAGCCGTAGGATTCGTCATGCAGTGACCGATTCACCGTCGATCTTCATAACGCATTGTTCTCCCTTCTGTTTCCACCCCACACTCACTGGTCTTCCCTTCCACTTAGCCCTCTGGAAAGAACAGAGCCTCACCTTATCAGCATCCCTGGTCAACGTTCACAGCTCTTTTCGCCATATTGGCGAGCCTTCTTCCATCGTTCAGAAGATCCTCACCTTATCTACACTCCACCCGGTCGTCCCGATCAGCCGTCCTGGTCCGCGGGAATTCGACTCTTGTAATTTGACGCAGTGTCGCAGCGGCGACCAAATTTGACCTAACTTGTCACGCCGGAGCTCCTGATTCGTGATACGTAATTTCACATATCGTCCTGATCAATGGCGTCGCTTCTCGCAGCGGCCTTGCCGTCTCTGCAGTGCATGTCCAGCACGCGAGTCTCATCCGCTGACGCATTCGAATCGCACGGCCCCACGGTCCTCTCTTCTGCCGCACTCGGCCTAACGTCGGGTTCAGGCTCGGGGGCCAGCGCCGCACTGGCTGCAGCTTCGGCATCAGGCTCAGGAGCAGGTTCGGTGAAGCTGATTTCCGTGGTCGGCGAGGCTGGTAACCTGGTTTCGCAGGGAATCGCGTGTGCGCATGGCGACGGGAGGGGCGGGAAGCGCGCCAAGTACATGGAGAAGCATCAAGCGGAGAAGCATTTCGCGGAGAAGCATCACACGGGCGGGATCAGCTTCCAGGTGCAGTTCAGACCTTCCATGTTCGGTACGGCAGCTTCAGGCTCGGTACAACAGCTGACAGGCTCGGTAAATTAGCTCCCATGCGCGCATACCAAGGAAACGGCAGTGCTACCTCGAAGCTGGTGCAGGATCCAAGAACGTAGGTACCGAGCAGAATGCCCTTTCTCGTGCCGCCAGTGGCCGAGCACATTGCCATTTACCGAGCCTGTTCTGCGGTTCTGGCGGCAGCACGAGGCGGGTAGGCGGGATGGGTCCGTCGGGCTGTCGTGACGCGATCGGAGGTGTGATCACGCGGACCGGGGTGAAGCACACTTGGATCCGCATTTTCTGGATCGTCCATGCGCCATGGCGTAGCCGCCCGCGCCATGGCTGCACACACAGAGCATGATACACAAAGGAAGCTCATTTTCAGCCGCTCATACCGCCATCGCTTCCATTGTAGAGTCGCGTTCCACCCCCCGTCGTCCGCTTCACATCCTTGTCTCATTGGTCTCAGGGTCATCCCAAACCCATTGTGTGGCCATTCCTTTGCTTCTGCCCTAATCCACTCTCAACCACCCTCGTCCGCCTGACATTCATGCCTCGTCATTCTCAGGGTCATCTCTGACCAGTTTGCGGTCATCCCTAATCCATTGATTAGCCCTAATCCCTTCTCAACCCCTCTCCTCCGATCTACATACACATTTCCCCAACTCGCATGTAACGCCTGTCTGCTTTCCGTCGCAATCGTTTTCTCCTCGCGCCTCGTCTCGTTCTCGCCGGAGTCGATTGTTGTTCGACTGTCACCATTCGTTTCTCTGCAACTCTCCTCCGCCACGCGTTCCCCTTCAACCCCCCTTCCGCTCAGATCGATTCCGCCGTCACCCCTTCCGCCCCGCCTGCGCCGATGGCGCCTCCGCCTGACCGCATCTCCGCCAAACACGCCGCGAAGCCCGCCGCTTCTGGCGGTGGTTCGGTGCATGTTTCTCTCGATCGCGCCACCGCGCCGCATGCTTCAACGCCGGGGGAGCCGGTGGCTGCGACGCTTGCGGACTGTCGCCCCCCGTACAGTCACATCCCACATTGTCACAATGAAGGCAGCGGGGAGGATCAGCTGCCCCCGTTAGTGTCACGCGAGGCTGTCGCGGAGGCGAGCCCGCTCGGGCTGACGCTTCGCAAGACGCCGTCGCTGGTGGAGTTCATTTCGCACAGGCTGTCGGAGGGCGCTGGTGACACTACTGGCGACGCTCCTGGCGACGCTGCCGACGACGGAGCGGGCGACGGTTCTGGCGACGTGGATATGATAGAAGAGGCGCGGACGGGCGTACCGAGCGGCGGAGAAGGAGGAGAACCCGCGGGGCCGGCGCACACGAAGCGCGGAAGCGACGCGCAGCGGACGGCACGCGGGATGGGCGGAGGGGGGATGAACAGCAGCAGCAGCAGTAGCAGCAGCGAGGCGGAACTGGACGGCAGGGGAATGGCGCAGGGCAACAGCGCTCGGGGGAATGGAATCCGCGAGCGGGACGAGCCTGTCCGCCCGGGTAGCGCTCCGGCGCACCAGCGCGCGCAGGACCAGGGGCGCGCGCAGGGCAAGGGAATACCGGCGCTAGTGGCGTTCGGCGGAGGTGCAACCGCGGTGTTCGGGGCTTTCGCGTCCCCCGACGGCGCGTCCGCACTGATGGCGGAGGGCGCACTCGCGTCGTTCAGCGCGCCGTTCCCGGCACTGCCGGCGCCGGCGGCGGACAAGCTGAAGGCGTCCAACTTCCCCGCCACGCGCATGACCATCGGCTCCTGGAAGGTGCGCTCGGGGGATGGCTGTAGCGCGACTATAGCGCGGATGTGACGCGGATGTATCGCGGATGCAGCGCGGATGTAGCGCGGATGCAGCGCGGACGTAGTGGGTTTGAGGGGCTTGCAAGCCGGAATGCGTCACTTGAGGTGGCATGTCGTGAGTGAGTGAGCATTCCGCACGGGATACAAGACGGCGCGATTCCACCCCGCGCATGGTGGCGCTCAATGCGGCCTCGAAATCCAGTCACCCCTGGACTGCTAAACCCTCTCTAAACCCCCGTCAACGTTGCCTTCCACATCGCATCCCTCGCCTCCTTTGCTCACGCCCTCACTCGCTCCCTCCCTCCTCCCCTTCCTCCTCCATCCCCCGCCCCTTTTCCCGTGCCCTCCGTCCCCCCCCCCCCCGTCCCCGTCCTCCGTCCCTCCCCTCCCGGCCGTACAATAACGGCAGAGGCGCAGCAAGTACGAGGGCGACCTGGTGGCCAAGTGCTACTTCGCGAAGCGCAAGCTGGTGTGGGAGGTGCTGGAGGGCGGGCTGAAGAGCAAGATCGAGGTGCAGTGGGGCGACATCGCCACGCTGCGCGCCTCCACCGCCAAGGGCCAGCCCGGCGTGCTCGAAATCGAGGTACGCGCGCACACAGAGGGGCGGGGGACGATAGTGGGGCGGGCTCGGAGGGGCTCGGATAGAGGGGCGGGGCCACGTGGACGGGCGGGGGAGGGTAGAGGGCTGCGGGCCGATAGAGGGGCGGGGGCGGTGGAAAGACAACGCGGGCTCTATCTGTGCAGCCTCTCAGCTCACTGGTGGCACTTTCCACGTTGTCACCTTGCACCTCCTCTCTTCCTCTCCTCCCCCCCTCACTCCCTCGCTTCCTCACTGCCCTAATCCGTCTCTCCCACTCCCGCCCTCTGCCTCCCCCGTTTCCCCCCATCCCCCACCCCCTGTCTCCCCCTCCCCCCACCTTTCAACCCCAGGTGTCGCGTCCCCCCCAGTTTTTCAAGGAGATGAATCCACAGCCGCGCCGCCACACGCTCTGGCAGTCCACTCCTGACTTCACCGCCGGCCAGGCCAACTCCTTCAGGTGAACCACCAGGCGCCTCAGGTGAAACATCAGGCGCAGCAGCTGGGTTCAGGTGAAATCAGGAAGTGGGGTCAGGTGAATCCTCACATTCTCACATCCTCACATCCACCCAGTAAACCTGCAGCTGAGTGCGTATCATTGCTCCTCCATCTCCCCAGTGCTTTTCCCCCTCCTCCATTCTTTCCTCCCTCCTTTCTGCCCTGACACAACACCTTTCCCCTTCCCTCTCTCACACCTCCCCTTCCCCGCATGTGCTGTGTGCAGGGCAGGCAGCACGTGGTGGAGTTCGAAGAGGGCGTGCTGAACAAGCACCTGCACAAGTCGCTCAAACGCCTAACGCCTTTCCCCTTTCCTCCTCCCCGTGTGCCTCTCGTGCCCGCCTGCCCCGTGCGCCTCTCGTGCCCGTCTGCCCCGTGTGCCTCGCGTGCCCTCCTGCCCTCTCCCCAGGCGGCACGTGGTGGAGTTCGCAGAGGGAGTGCTGAACAAGCATCTGCACAAGCTGCTCGCCTCCGACCCGCGCCTGCGCGACCTCGCCCACGGCACCTCCGCACAGCACACCCACCCCGGGCAGCACGGGCAGGGCGGGCAAGGCAGCGCGCACATGGGCATGCATGCGCGCACCCACGCGCACGCATACGGCAGAGACGTGCTGCAGAGCTCGCCTCACAAGGCACGCGTGGGAGCCATGGGAGCGATGGGAGCAGGTGGGGCGATGGAGGGGGTGATGAGCTACGGCCACGGCAAGCCCACTGCCCCGCACGGTGCTCTGCCGTATGGCTCACCTGCCGCGCTTGCAGACCCGCTCCTGCCCCTCGCGCACACCCACGGCCCTCCCCATGCACGCACGCATGGCAGTGTGTATCCCCGTTCCCACTCCCACCCCCACTCCCACTCCCACGCCCACTCCCACACCCACTCTCATGCGCATGCGGGTGCGGATGGGAGGGGGAGCAGTGTGGGCGAGGAGGGGGAGGTGGCGGGGCGGGGGAAGGCAAGGCAGGGAGCAGCACACATGGCGCCACCGTACCCCATGGTGCCTGCGGGCTTCTTCCAACCTCCGCCCCTGCCTCAGGTAGGCTCTCGTGTTTCCCTCTTCACTTCTCTCTTCTCCCTCAGGTAGGCACGTCATCTCTCTCCTCTTCTCTCTCCCTCTCCCGCTCCGTCTCCCGCTCCCTCTCCCGTTTCCTCTCCCTCTCCCTCTCTCTCTTCCTCTCCCTCTTCCTCTCCCTTTTCTCTCCCTTCCTTTCCTCTTCCCTTCCCCCCTCCTCTCCTGCTCCGCTTCCCTTCCTCCCTCCGTTTCCCTCTTTTCCCTCTCTCCCTCTCGCCTCGCCCCACTCACCCGCTCTCATCTTTTCCGCCATCGTTCTCCTCCATTTGTACTCCTCTCTCCCTTTCTCCCCTCTCTCCCTTTCTCCCCTCTCGCCCTCTCTCCCCTCTCTCCCTCTCTCCCCTCTCTCCCTCTCTTCCCTCTCTCCCTCTCTCTCTCCCTCTCTCCACTCTCTCCCTCTCTCCCCTTCCTCTCTCTGTCATCAATCATCTCCACTCAACCCCCTCTCCCTTCACCCCCTGTCCTCCTCCTCGTGCCTGCAGACCTTCTTCCCTCCGCCCCCCATCATGCCACCCTTCCCCACGCACCACCTGCCACCACCCCCCTCAACGCCCTCATCACCAGCTTCAGCAGCAGCAGCGGCAGCGGCAGCGGCAGGGAGCAGAGCAGCAGCAGCAGCGCGTGCAGCAGCAGACCCGCGCTCGCCCCTCTCCGTGCCGTTCCCTCCCTTCCCGTACTTCCCCTCCCACCTCTACCCTCCTCCCCCATACCTTCCTGGTGGCTACATGAGCAACTCATACGAGGGGGAGCAAGAGGAGGACGAGGAGGAGGAGGAGGAGGAAGAGGGGATGGAGGGGAACGAGGAGGGGGGAAGAGTAGCCGTGGAAAGGAATGAGAAGGGAGAGTGGGGAAAGGGTGTGAGGGGCGAGGGAGACGAAGGGGAAGAGGAAAAGGGCAGTGGAGGAAGGTGTAGCAGTGGAGGGGCGGCAGGTGTGGGAGGAAGGGGCGGGGGTGAGAAGCATGGGGGGAAGGGGCGCTCACCCATGGATCTGTCCTTTCCTTCACCTGCCGGTGAGTCCTGCTCTCATTCACGCCATGCCAGCTCCTTTTTCCCCAACTCATATCCTTTCCATGTCGTTCCGTGCTCTTGTATCGCTTCTCCCCCTTGCCTCTCGCCACGACATGTGTCAGCTGGTTTCACGCACCTCTGCTCCACTCTCCTCCCTCATATCCCTCTCATATCCTCTCCACCCCCCTTTGTATTTCCCCGCAATCCCCCACCAGCAGCGCACTACCCCCACCTGCCCCACCCGCCCATGTGGCCTGCCCACGTGGGCCTCCCCCCCGCTGCTTTCTGGCCGCCCTTCCCCCCTCCTCCGTACCCTGCCTTCCCTCCCCCCGCCCCTTCTGCCACTCCTCTTCCCCACATGCATCCCCATGCCGCACGCATGCACCCCATGCATGCTGCACCGCCCATGCACGCACACGCCATGCCTACTCCTGCCATGGCCCCCCACCCCGCCTTGCTGCCACCAGCCCCGCACCCTGCACATTGCCACATCCCTACACCCATGGGTCCCACACACATGCACACAGACCTGCACACGCCCACCCACATGCGCAGCAGCAGCTTGAGCAGCGGGCGGGCTTCTGTGCGGCGTGATTTAGGCGTGCACAGCACCAGCAGCAACAGCAACACGGCCCTGCCAGCCACTAGCATCAACACGAGCAACAACAACACCAGGAGCAACAACAACAACGGCGACAGCAAGAGCAACAAGAGCAAGAACGGCAGCAAGAATGTCACGGGCAGCAACGGGTTCCCCAGCAGCAGCAACTGCAACATTCCCATCAGCAGCACCAGCAACAGCGGCATGGGGAGTGGTGGCCTGAGAGAAAGCACCTCCCCGATCCGTTCATCTTTTCTGGAGGAGGTGTCATCTATGTTCTGCGACCCACTCCCGTTTCACTAACCGCTCCACACCACACATTCGCCACATTCACATGTGTGATTTTCACTCCACATTGAAAGGTGCACGATTTTGCAGTGCAGGCTACCAATACCCTACCATGGCTTGTCTTGTCTGCCTGCCTGCCCACACATTGTGGCTTGTCCTTTTGCATTTGACCCAACTGCATGTTGGGAAACCCGAAACCCTTTAACCTAGACCTCTCCAATTTTCCCCAGTGACTGCCATGGTTCAAGAAAGCCGGCCAATGCCGGTCCTGTAGCAGTACCTGTGATAGCACCATGTTGCCTGTATCAGTCCGAGCCATAATTTTGACAGCAGAAGCAATGGTGGAGCGTTTCTTTACCAGCCGCTTGGCATTTTGCCTTTGCCAGCAGTGCGGCTCTGAAGGGCACATAACATACTGGACTGGGTCTTGCGCTTGAGGCAAAAAGACTTGAGGGTCGCCCATTTTGTTGAGCCTCCTTCCGTTGCATGTGTTGAGATGTAACTACCGTAATCCCCTGTATATACAGCCTGCCGAAATAATGCCCCCATAGGAGGGTAAGGTGAAACTCGTTACAATGTTTGGACATATTTTCATTCTACCGTATATGCGCTTATATAGATCACGCTATTCTGGGGGGCCAGCCATAAACGCAGTGCTCTAGATAGAAGCGCATCCGCTTATAATAGGCATGCACTTATTATATCCGGGGCCTTACGGTACACCCTAAGGTAAGGGTCCACCTTATTACACTTTGAACAATTTGAATGCGCGGAAGGGAAACAAACGCAAGTGAAGTCGAGGTTCTAAATCAGAGGAGAGAGGGAACATAAAGAAAAAAAGAAGAGAAAACAATCAGAGGGCACCCGCCATGTTTCCTGACCATATCATCCATTCTTGCCATCTCATCACTCCCCAATCTATCGCATTCGGAAGTTGAGATTGCGGAGGGCGTATGTGCACACACAGAAGAAAAGGCAAGAGAAGCCGAGCAGGGCAGCAGCGGCATAGCCGAGCCAGTCGTGGGAGAAGCCGTAGTAGAGCTGGATGAACTGCGATACCGACTGATCTGGCATGCCTGGTGGATTCACCATCAGTGTCGTTACATCTCCCAGCTGTAAAACAACCAGAGATGAAACGAGGAACATGTAGAGAAGTTAGGGACGGAACAAAGAACAGGCAGGAGCAGGAAACTGGGGAGCCTCCCAGGGAGCTTCCCTGGGCATTTCTTCCGCACTCCTCACTGCATATGATTATGTGGACTAGAACCAAGTACTAAACGCCTACACACTTCGATTGACTTGTTGAACAGCCACTACTCACTGTATGCAACTTATTTGCATTAATACCAAGTACTAAACGCCCACATACATTGAGCTACTGATGAAACTATGAGGGCTGTGGGATGGGACTGGGGTAGAGCCAGCTTTACCTTGAAAGAAGCTTTAGCTTTGAGGACTGTGGCACACCAAGTTCTATCGAACGGGCTTACCTGGGAGGCAGCAAGGCCATACAGGGACCATGCAACAGGGTTGATCCAATACAACCATTTCCAGTACACAGGGATTTTCTGTTGAACGTACGAGGGAAGGAAAGGTTGTATGGGAAAATAAAAGGAAGATATAGAGGAGAAGTAAGGACACAAGGAGGGGGACCATGCTGAGAGTGATACTGTCATAACCACATGTGTTGGGCCACCTCTGAGTTTAATCAAAAGCACAATGTCATGCGCATGCTTTTATGGGAATGCCATGGTGATCCCGCCCCATCGCCACTTGAGAACCGACAACAGAGAGCAACGAGCATGGCACTCACTGGTTGCGGCAGCAGGAAGCCACAAAGAAGGTTCCAAAAGGAGTAAATGAAGGCCGAGAACAGCATTCCCAGCCCTTCAGCGGGCGTGATGGCACTCGCCATCATGCCGAAACACGTGAAGTAGAGCAGCGTGAGGAACTGGAACAGCAGGTACCACATGAATTTCCCGGGGGTCCACTCAAACCGAATCATGCAGTATGTTAATAGCGAGTACACCGCCGTTTGCACCAGTAGGTACGGTAGCTCAATCACCCCTTGCGCGAGTGCATACGGGATAGCACTGTACATCCCGGCACCGCGCTCACGGTAATAAATACTCCTTTCCACCGCAAGCATCGGCTGGATGGATGCAAGATTGCTCCACCCGAGGAAGAGAGCTGCAGTGTAGAGTGCCCCCATGACGTTCACAATCTGCTGCGGCGTCTCCCGTGAATTTCCAGAGCCGAAGAAGACGCCGCCAATGAGGAGGCTCATGACGAAGGAGAAGAAGAGGCGCGCGCCGTTGTAGTCAGGCATGCGCCAGTACATGCGGGCGCTTCCACACATGGGTGGCGAACTGCGAGAGCAGCGTTGTCGGGTAGTGAGTTGGAAAGTGAAGATCCGGTTCCCCTTCGGGGGGCACGCTGGATTCGTGGATTAGAGCCTCTATGGACCTGAGGGTGAGAGGGATAAGAGAGAGTAGAGGTAAACAGGGATAAAGGGGCAAGGGAAAGTAGAGGACGAGGGACAGAACGGGGCAAGGGAGAGAAGAGGGGAAGAAAGAGAAGACGGCAAGGAGGAAAGAGAGCAAGGGAGAGAAGAGGGCAAGGGAGAGAAGAGGGTAAGGGAGAGAAGAGGGTAGGGGAGACACGTGGGCAAGGGAGAGAAGGCAAGGGAGAGAACAGGGTAAGCGAGACAAGAGGGGTAAGCCGGAGGAGTTGGGACAAGGGCGTTGTGGAGTGATGTGATAGAAAGGAGAGGTTGAGCTTGTTGCGAAGCTTACATGACCTGACTTGAAAGGCTCTGAACCACTGCCGTTCTCTGCCCCTGCTTTTCTCACCTGAAACTAATCCCCCATGAGGCTCTGCTGTCCTCACCTGAGGCTCTACTGTCCTCACCTGAGGCTCTGCTGTCCTCACCTGAGGCTCTGCTGTCCTCACCTGAGGCTCTGCTGTCCTCACCTGAGGCTCTGCTGTCCTCACCTGAGGCTCTGCTGTCCTCACCTGAGGCTCTGCTATCCTCACCTGAGGCTCTTCTGTCCACACCTGAGGTTCTGCTGTCCTCACCTGAGGCACTGCTGTCCACGCCCAAGGTTCTGCTGTTCTCACCTGAACTGGTCGGACTGGAGGAACAGGTGAGCAAAGTCGACTCTGAGTCGCCCTGCTGATGCTGACGCCGTGACCTCGAGCATCCACGCTGCTGGGTTGGCCCCGGGATGGATGGGCGGCACCCCTGGGATGGACTGGAGGAGGGATGGGGATTGGTAGCGGAAACGGGGAGGAAGGGTGAGCGAGGAAACAACGAGCTTGAGCAGTCACTCAGTGCAGCGTTGGTCCTTGGCTGGATGGGCGCACGTCACGCTTGAGATGGTTTGGTTTGGACCGGAGGCATGCATGGGTGGGTGGAGAACGAATGGTGGATGGGGCGGTTAGCGGAATGGAGGGGGATAATAAGGAAAGGAAGGGTATGGCACTCTGCGGGCTCGACTCTGGGCTGAATGGGCACCACAAAACAGAATGGTAGAAGGAGGTTGGGGAGGGTGCTGTGCTGCATTGGATGGGTGTATGGGTGCTGTGAGGCTGGATGGATGGTACCGTCAGGAGGGGCTGCAGGAAGGGGAATGTACATGGTGGGGGGGATGAGGAAAAGTCTGGTTACAAAGTGCAAACGACTAAAGTGGAGGGAAGCGAAGGGACGCTATTGAGGGAAGGCGGCAAGGGAGAAGAGAAGTGCAGGTATTGAGGGAGAAGGTATGCGAAGGGTGTAAGAATATGAGCTAGAATGGATTAGTTTATATTAGAGTTGAAGGCTCCTCAAAGGACAACGGCGGAATTGGGAAGCAAAATCTGCCCAGCTCACATTCTACCCCTGCTGGGTTTTGAGAATGATTAATTTTCACTCTCGTGCGGAACCTCCGCTTGGCTGATTTCTGAACCCGAGATCGTCGCGTTGCTTAGTTGTGCAATTTAGTTATTGCCCTCTAAGTACATCAGAAGTGGCTCTATACCCTTTATACGATACCGTTTTATTTGATACCGGATTTTATGGTAAATATTCAAAACCAACGGCTGCGTTTTTGCACCCTGGGTTTAAGACACACTGGTTTAGAAGGCTGTATGCGACAGCATGGTCTTAGCAAATTGGTTTCGGGACAGTGTTTTAAGATAAGACAGGGGTGTGTGAAAAGGTTTGAATTACAACTCCAGTCGTGTGACAATGGTTCAAGGTAACAGTGTGTGCCTTACCTTGAACTAGCGAACGAGGTCGCATGACTGCTTCCCCAGTGACCACGTGTAGATGACCTCTCCTCCCCTCTGCATCAACAGCAGCTGCAGGGCTCAACCGTGAGACAGGCAGGAGAGGGGTGGTGGAGCATGAGCAGAGAGAGGCAAGTACGGGAGGAGAGGGGCAAGTATGGGAGGAGAGGGGCAAGTATGGGAGGAGAGGGGCAAGTCTGGGAGGAGAGAGGCAAGTCTGGGAGGAGAGGGGCAAGTATGGGAGGAGAGGGGCAAGTCTGGGAGGAGAGAGGCAAGTATGGGAGGAGAGAGGCAAGTCTGGGAGGAGAGAGGCAAGTCTGGGAGGAGAGGGGCGAGTATGGGAGGAGAGGGGCAAGTATGGGAGGAGAGAGGCAAGTATGGGAGGAGAGGGGCAAGTATGGGAGGAGAGGGGCAAGTATGGGAGGAGAGAGGCAAGTATGGGAGGAGAGGGGCGAGTATGGGAGGAGAGGGGCAAGTATGGGAGGAGAGGGGCAAGTATGGGAGGAGAGAGGCAAGTATGGGAGGAGAGGGGCGAGTATGGGAGGAGAGGGGCAAGTATGGGAGGAGAGGGGCAAGTCTGGGAGGAGAGAGGCAAGTCTGGGAGGAGAGGGGCAAGTATGGGAGGAGAGGGGCAAGTCTGGGAGGAGAGGGGCAAGTATGGGAGGAGAGGGGCAAGTCTGGGAGGAGAGAGGCAAGTCTGGGAGGAGAGGGGCGAGTATGGGAGGAGAGGGGCGAGTATGGGAGGAGAGAGGCAAGTATGGGAGGAGAGGGGCGAGTATGGGAGGAGAGGGGCAAGTATGGGAGGAGAGGGGCAAGTCTGTGAGGAGAGAGGCAAGTCTGGGAGGAGAGGGGCAAGTATGGGAGGAGAGGGGCAAGTATGGAAGGAGAGGGGCAAGTCTGGGAGGAGAGAGGCAAGTCTGGGAGGAGAGGGGCAAGTCTGGGAGGAGAGAGGCGATTATGAAAGGGGAGGGGCGAGCGGGAGAGAAGAGGGAAGGGTATGCGAGGAGAAGGGTGAGGGTATGATAGGAGGCGCGGTGGTGAGCGGTGCAGATCACTGTGCAGCGGTATCGATGGCATTGTACTTGAAGTGTCCATTACTTACAATGTACATTCGTTGCATCGCACATCGTTTTTATGCACAATACCCTGCCAAACGCTTAAACAATGTCAACAGGCATACGACACGACCCATGCCCAACTTTATTAAGCACAATTTGGTGTATGCATTTTCGTGTACACCAATCAAGTTACATGTCATATAAAGCCCATCTCGTCAAATGCCTCAAGCATGTGGATGGACCACTGGTGGATGGTGCACTGCACACACCCCTGTGCGACCCCGTGCTATCACACACAATATGGTGTTTGCCATCTTAGTGTATAGTTATACAAGTGCATATTATGAGTGTCTGTTACCTCGTCAAACGCCTCGAAGATGTGGATGGACGGCTGGTGGATGGTGCACACCACTGTGCGGCCCGAAGCTGTCTTCTTAGTGTACACTTATACAAGCGCACATTGTAGATTCATCTCACCCCGTCAAAGGCCTCACCTCGTCAAAGGCCTCACCTCGTCAAACGCCTCACCTCGTCAAAGGCCTCACCTCGTCAAACGCCTCACCTCATCAAAGGCCTCGAAGATATCGATGGACGGCTGGTGGATGGTGCACACGACTGTGCGGCCCGTGTTCACTGTGTTGCGCACCGCCCTCATCACTATGGCCGCTGCCCTCGCATCCAGGCCTGAGAAGGGACGAGGTTGTGAGGAGATGGAGGGAGAGGAGAATGAGGGGGAAAGAGGGAGAAACAATGCGTGGCCAGTTTTGGCTGTGTTGCGCACCGCCCTCATCACTTTGGCCGCTGCCCCTGAGTCCAGCCCTGCAGAGGATGCGAGGAGCGAGAAGAGAGAAATGTGACCTAAGGAGTAAGTACTACCTGACCTGAGAGGTGGGTGTTATCTGACCTGAGGGGTGGGTTTTACCTGACCTGGGGTGCCAAGCAATGGCTGGCCACTATTTATCTTTACGCAAGGGACAGATCATTCAGCCTCCACCTCCAGGGTAGATAAATAGTGGCCAGTAAGTACTACCTGACCTGAGAGGTGGGTGTTATCTGACCTGAGGGGTGGGTTTTACCTGACCTGGGGTGCCAAGCAATGGCTGGCCACTATTTATCTACCACTCCGGCTCCAGCACCCCCTTAACCACCTCCGGCTCCACCAATTCCATTTCTTCCTCCGCACCGCAGCATGAAGAGAGCAAGGCAGGGAGAGAGCAAGAAAGGAAGAGCGAGGCAGATAGGGAGGGGATGAGGAGACAGGAGAGTGGGGGTGGGTATGCTTGAGACTATGAGGGGAAAGGCGTAAGCAAGAACTCCCCCATTGCACCTGCTTCACACTGCTTCTCTTCTTCATGATCGGTGACCCCTTTCACCATCTGCATCCCCACCTGCTCCATCACCTCTCCATCACCCCTCTCACCTCCTCTCACCTCCTCTCACCTCATATCACCTACTTTACTAACACGTCCCTTCATTGACCATTTTCGCATCACATATTTCCATTAAACATTATCACATCTCTCAAATGACCATTCTCACATCTCTCCATTCACCATGATCACACCTCTCATTTCACCCTTCTCACATAACTGCACTCACCATGATCACACCTCTCATTTCACCCTTCTCACATAACTGCACTCACCATGATCACACCTCTCATTTCACCCTTCTCACATAACTGCACTCACCATGATCACACCTCTCATTTCACCCTTCTCACATAACTGCACTCACCATGATCACACCTCTCATTTCACCCTTCTCACATAACTGCACTCACCATGATCACACCTCTCATTTCGCCCTTCTCACATAACTCCACTCACCATGATCACATCTCTCCATTCACCCCGCCACTCACACGAGGATTGCATCTCAATCCATGCCCGCCTCTCACCAAGATGACTTCCTTTTTGTTGTAAATTGATCTTGGGAATTCTCACAATCACTCACCAGGATGACATCCCTCTCGATCTCCTCAGGCAGGCGCAGCCAGGCGGAGTAGAGAAGAGACTCATGCACGGTCACCTGGGGCGTGTGAATATCCTCCTGCTCACAATACCCCGACACCCTCAGAAACGTCGCCTGCACTTTCGGGTAACCGTAAACCCGGATATCCCCTTCGATGTGACCCCCGGTCTTCCTCCCTGCCAGCACATCCATTAGCGTGGTCTTCCCTGCTCCAGACACCCCCATCAGGGCGGTCAGCACTCCGGGACGAAACACGCCAGACACGTTACGCAGCAGCTGCAGCCGCTGGCCGGGCGGCGCAACCTTGTCCTTTAGCTCGGCGGGCATGTCGACATAGTAGTTGACGTTGTGGAAGGAGAGAGTGAGCGGATCAAAGGGGAGGACCATGCCATGCTGGCTGAGTTCCCCCCCACCAGAGGGTCCAGTGGGCACTTCACGATCATTCTCATCAAGGTGCTTCGGATCAGCATGAGGATCAAAAGCGAGTTCAGGTACTGTGCCCGATGATGCAACTGAATGTAACTCATCATCTCCTTCCAGGCTGTCGTTTCTTGTCAGAGAATTCCTCTCCTTCTGTACTTCCTCTCTGCCTCCTGTGCCCCTAGCAGCAGTGATCCCTGTACCATCACCTGCAGCATCCCCATCACTCAAGACGGAGATTACTCTCCTCTGCCGCTGATTATCACCCCTGCCTCCTGTGCTGCTAATTGCAGTGATACCTGTACTCTCACCAACATCCCCTCCCAGCTCTCCCCCTCCCGCTTCCCCTTGACCTCCTTCTGACATCACTCGCAGGTGAACCTTCGGGCTGCCCGAAGGAAGGCTTGTGAGCGAGCGGGCAGAAAGGGAAGGTCTGGCGAGGCTCTTGGGGGAGCGGAAGCGGTCGGTGGCGAGGAAGCGGGCAATGGCAGTGGAGCCGGTGCGGGAGAGCGTGAGGGAGCGCAGGGAGGAGGAACGTGAGGAACATTCCAGGTTGGTGATGCCTAGAGCTATCTCTCGAGCGTCTAGCTGATGCTGGGAGATCACTGGCTAGGCCCTGGGCCAGGCTGGGCGGGGGAAGGCGAGGGGGAGGGGGAGGGGGTGAAAGGGGAGGAGTGAGGGTGGAAAGGAGAAATCAAGAGCAGATGGTTTTTTTTTTTTTTTTTTTTTTGCGTTCAGCAGGTGGTGGGCGACAGCTGACTGAGCTATGGGGCAGGCTGGTTGGAGAAGGAGGGGTGGATGGAGAGGGAGGGGTGGATGGAGAGGGAGGGGTGGGGGAATGGGCACAACGAGGGGAGACGGAGTGGTGGTTGGGGAGACGGACAGGATAAATAAAAGCACCCGACTGTTGGTGCGAAGGCAAGGCGAGGGGAGTGAGAGAAAGGGAGAGCCATTGATTTTAAAAAGTGGAGTCTTTCTAGCAGAAAGATTTGGGGCAGTGAGATAAACGGAGATGAGTGGGAGAGAGCAAGAGGAGAGTGAGGAAGGAGGTGGAGCAAGAGAAGGGAAAGGAAAAGGAGGGAGAGAAAGAGAGAGAGGAGGGGAGCCAGAGAGGAGTGAGAGCGTGGTGGATGGATGAGGTCAAAATCTATGGCATGGCATGGTAAGACTAACGGTCTAAAAAAAGAAGAAAAGGTGCTTACGGTTGAGGTGTTTAAGTGCAAGGATGGTAACCACATTGCAGAAGAGAGTGAAGGCGATTCCAACGAGGCCTCCCGCCCACACCCAGTAGGCGTCGGTCCACAGGCTGCGCGCTGTGAGCACCTGCAGGCCCAGTGTTGTGTTCAGCGAGGGGGGATCGGAGAGCTGGGGCGGAGGCATGGGAGGAGGGGGGAAGGAGAATAGAGGTAAGTAGGAGAAGGGTGAGGAGGGATACGAAGGAGGATGAGGGAGGAGAGTTGAGAGGAGGGAGTACAGGAGGGAGGAGGAGTTGAAAGGGGTTGAGGAAAGGAAAGGGGATAAAACAGGAGAAAGGGGAGGTGGGATGAGAAGGGTGTGGAGAGAGACAGAGAGCGAGAGAAGAAGAGGGCACCCAACCCCACGAAGCGAGAGAAGAAGAGGGCACCCAACCCCACGAAGCGAGAGAAGAAGAGGGCACCCAACCCCACGAAGCGAGAGAAGAGGAGGGCACCCAACCCCACGAAGCGAGAGAAGAGGAGGGCACCCAACCCCACGAAGCGAGAGAAGAGGAGGGCACCCAACCCCACGAAGCGAGAGAAGAGGAGGGCACCCAACCCCACGAAGCGAGAGAAGAGGAGGGCACCCAACCCCACGAAGCGAGAGAAGAGGAGGGCACCCAACCCCACGAAGCGAGAGAAGAGGAGGGCACCCAACCCCACGAAGCGAGAGAAGAGGAGGGCACCCAACCCCACGAAGCGAGAGAAGAGGAGGGCACCCAACCCCACGAAGCGAGAGAAGAGGAGGGCACCCAACCCCACGAAGCGAGAGAAGAGGAGGGCACCCAACCCCACGAAGCGAGAGAAGAGGAGGGCACCCAACCCCACGAAGCGAGAGAAGAGGAGGGCACCCAACCCCACGAAGCGAGAGAAGAGGAGGGCACCCAACCCCACGAAGCGAGAGAAGAGGAGGGCACCCAACCCCACGAAGCGAGAGAAGAGGAGGGCACCCAACCCCACGAAGCGAGAGAAGAGGAGGGCACCCAACCCCACGAAGCGAGAGAAGAGGAGGGCACCCAACCCCACGAAGCGAGAGAAGAGGAGGGCACCCAACCCCACGAAGCGAGAGAAGAGGAGGGCACCCAACCCCACGAAGCGAGAGAAGAGGAGGGCACCCAACCCCACGAAGCGAGAGAAGAGGAGGGCACCCAACCCCACGAAGCGAGAGAAGAGGAGGGCACCCAACCCCACGAAGCGAGAGAAGAGGAGGGCACCCAACCCCACGAAGCGAGAGAAGAGGAGGGCACCCAACCCCACGAAGCGAGAGAAGAGGAGGGCACCCAACCCCACGAAGCGAGAGAAGAGGAGGGCACCCAACCCCACGAAGCGAGAGAAGAGGAGGGCACCCAACCCCACGAAGCGAGAGAAGAGGAGGGCACCCAACCCCACGAAGCGAGAGAAGAGGAGGGCACCCAACCCCACGAAGCGAGAGAAGAAGAGGGCACCCAACCCCACGAAGCGAGAGAAGAAGAGGGCACCCAACCCCACGAAGCGAGAGAAGAAGAGGGCACCCAACCCCACGAAGCGAGAGAAGAAGAGGGCACCCAACCCCACGAAGCGAGAGAAGAAGAGGGCACCCAACCCCACGAAGCGAGAGAAGAAGAGGGCACCCAACCCCACGAAGCGCACCGGACGACCAGGACAGAATCGCTAAGGCAGAGTCTCAGACGCGCAGTACAAGCGCCATCGGCAACCAACACGCCTTTATCTGACGTTTTCCCATCTCTGATTTTCAAACTCACATCTTATTCGCTGCATCTCACTTGCTGCATCTCACTCGCTGCATCTCACTCGCTGCATCTCACTCGCTCACATCTCCCTTGCTCACATCTCTCTCGCTCACATCTCTCTTGCTCACATCTCCCTCGCTCACATCTCCCTCGCTCACATCTCCCTCACGGGGACGCTAACAGAGGACGTGATGGCTCTGCTCACTGCGTCCAGACTCTTAGCACTTGGACAATCCTAGGGGGGCACGCACACGCCCAATGGCCATCGGCGAATCCCTCATGTGGATAGTCGCCAAATGTGCGTTGTCCGCGTGCTACAACGCCAGCCAGGGAGATCCATTACGCCCACACCACACCACACCACACCACACCACAACACACCACACCACACCACACCACACCATACCACACCACACCACACCACACCACCATGCCACACACACCATACAGTACCAGGGCACAGCACAGCACATACCACATCCCATCGGGGGGCGAGGAACTCATTAGCAGAAAAGGCGTTCTGGCAGTAGGTGAGGGGCGAGATCCAGTACACCCACTCCCACACGCCATGGATGTCAGCTGCAGGGGGAGGGCACGGAACAGGTGAAGGAGGATATGAGCATGAGGGTTGGATGACCATGGGATGAGGCCCAGCTCAACCTTAGGGTGGTTCGAACCGGATTTTTCAGAAACCCGCCAGGCCGGTCGGTTAGGCCCGAGCCGTGGCCTGCCACGCGACGGGGCCGGCCCGCGCTCCGGCCCGCACCAGGCCCGCATGGTGCCCGAGCCGGCGAGCCGCACCCGTGAGTTTCAGGTTAGATTTAGGTTGCGGGTGAAAATCATTTTCTAGTTTCACCCACAACACAGCAACCCATCCCCAACCTTTACCTGGAGCACACTTGGGATAATTCGTCAGCAGTTGCATGATGCATCCTAGAGGTATAGTGCGACTATCTTAAGCAGTCACGCAAGCAACTAAGGAACCGCGCGCGACTTCCTAAGCAGTCACGCGAGCAGCCAGGAGCCAAGGTTGGGCCGGCCACGGGCCGGATGTCTGGCCAGGCCGGCCTGGGATGGGCCGGCCCGACAAAAGCAACCGCCCGCGCGGGCCGGTCTGGGGTTGGCCCCGGTCCGGCTGCTCATGTCTACCGCGCACCATGGATGTGGGCTGCTGGGGTGGATGGGTGGAGACTGATGTGGGACGGGCATATGTGGCATGTGTGGGAATATGTGAGCATGTGTGGGCATATGTGAGCATGTGTGGGTATATGTGAGCATGTGTGGGCATATGTGAGCAAGCGTAAGCATGTGTGGGCATGGGTACGCATGTGTATGTGTGTGGACGTATGTGAGCCTGTTGCTGGCATAGTATGAGCATGTGGATTTTATTCCCCTCTATAGACGCATGTGGGTCTTTGAAGTATATGATCACACACGTCACAATCACCCACCTCACAATCACCCACCTCACAATCACACACCTCACAAGCACACACCGCACAAGCACACACCTCACAAGCACACACCTCACAAGCACACACCTCACAAGCACACACCGCACAAGCACACACCTCACAAGCACACACCTCACAATCACACACCTCACAAGCACACACCTCACAAGCACACACCGCACAAGCACACACCTCACAAGCACACACCTCACAAGCACACACCTCACAAGCACACACCGCACAAGCACACACCTCACAAGCACACACCTCACAAGCACACACCTCACAAGCACACACCTCACAAGCACACACCTCACAAGCACACACCTCACAAGCACACAACTCACAAGCACACACCTCACAAGCACACACCTCACAAGCACACACCTCACAAGCACACACCTCACAAGCACACACCTCACAAGCACACACCTCACAAGCACACACCTCACAAGCACACACCTCACAAGCACACACCTCACAAGCACACACCTCACAAGCACACACCTCACAAGCACACACCTCACAAGCACACACCTCACAAGCACACACCTCACAAGCACACACCTCACAAGCACACACCTCACAAGCACACACCTCACAAGCACACACCTCACAAGCACACACCTCACAAGCACACACCTCACAAGCACACACCTCACAAGCACACACCTCACAAGCACACACCTCACAAGCACACACCTCACAAGCACACACCTCACAAGCACACACCTCACAAGCACACACCTCACAAGCACATACCTCACAAGCACACACCTCACAAGCACACACCGCACAAGCACACACCTCACAAGCACACACCTCACAAGCACACACCTCACAAGCACACACCTCACAAGCACACACCTCACAAGCACACACCTCACAAGCACACACCTCACAAGCACACACCTCACAAGCACACACCTCACAAGCACACACCTCACAAGCACACACCTCACAAGCACACACCTCACAAGCACACACCTGACAATCACACACCTCACAAGCACACACCTCACAAGCACACACCTCACAAGCACACACCTCACAAGCACACACCGTACAAGCAAACACCTCACAAGCACACACCTCACAAGCACACACCTCACAAGCACACACCTCACAAGCACACACCGCACAAGCACACACCTCACAAGCACACACCGCACAAGCACACACCTCACAAGCACACACCTCACAAGCACACACCGCACAAGCACACACCTCACAATCACACACCGCACAAGCACACACCTCACAAGCACACACCTCACAAGCACACACCTCACAAGCACACACCTCACAAGCACACACCTCACAAGCACACACCTCACAAGCACACACCGCACAAGCACACACCTCACAAGCACACACCGCACAAGCACACACCTCACAAGCACACACCTCACAAGCACACACCGCACAAGCACACACCTCACAAGCACACACCTCACAAGCACACACCTCACAAGCACACACCTCACAAGCACACACCTCACAAGCACACACCTCACAAGCACACACCTCACAAGCACACACCTCACAAGCACACACCTCACAAGCACACACCGCACAAGCACACACCTCACAAGCACACACCTCACAAACACACACCTCACAAGCACACACCTCACAAGCACACACCTCACAAGCACACACCTCACAAGCACACACCTCACAAGCACACACCTCACAAGCACACACCTCACAAGCACACACCGCACAAGCACACACCTCACAAGCACACACCGCACAAGCACACACCTCACAAGCACACACCTCACAAGCACACACCTCACAAGCACACACCTCACAAGCACACACCTCACAAGCACACACCTCACAAGCACACACCGCACAAGCACACACCTCACAAGCACACACCTCACAAGCACACACCTCACAAGCACACACCTCACAAGCACACACCTCACAAGCACACACCTCACAAGCACACACCGCACAAGCACACACCTCACAAGCACACACCTCACAAGCACACACCGCACAAGCACACACCTCACAAGCACACACCTCACAAGCACACACCTCACAAGCACACACCGCACAAGCACACACCTCACAAGCACACACCGCACAAGCACACACCTCACAAGCACACACCTCACAAGCACACACCGCACAAGCACACACCTCACAAGCACACACCTCACAAGCACACACCTCACAAGCACACACCTCACAAGCACACACCTCACAAGCACACACCTCACAAGCACACACCTCACAAGCACACACCTCACAAGCACACACCTCACAAGCACACACCTCACAAGCACACACCTCACAAGCACACACCTCACAAGCACACACCTCACAAGCACACACCTCACAAGCACACACCTCACAAGCACACACCTCACAAGCACACACCTCACAAGCACACACCTCACAAGCACACACCTCACAAGCACACACCTCACAAGCACACACCGCACAAGCACACACCTCACAAGCACACACCTCACAAGCACACACCTCACAAGCACACACCTCACAAGCACACACCTCACAAGCACACACCTCACAAGCACACACCTCACAAGCACACACCTCACAAGCACACACCGCACAAGCACACACCTCACAAGCACACACCTCACAAGCACACACCTCACAAGCACACACCTCACAAGCACACACCTCACAAGCACACACCTCACAAGCACACACCTCACAAGCACACACCTCACAAGCACACACCTCACAAGCACACACCTCACAAGCACACACCTCACAAGCACACACCTCACAAGCACACACCTCACAAGCACACACCTCACAAGCACACACCTCACAAGCACACACCTCACAAGCACACACCTCACAAGCACACACCTCACAAGCACACACCGCACAAGCACACACCTCACAAGCACACACCTCACAAGCACACACCGCACAAGCACACACCTCACAAGCACACACCTCACAAGCACACACCTCACAAGCACACACCTCACAAGCACACACCGCACAAGCACACACCTCACAAGCACACACCTCACAAGCACACACCTCACAAGCACACACCTCACAAGCACACACCTCACAAGCACACACCTCACAAGCACACACCGCACAAGCACACACCTCACAAGCACACACCTCACAAGCACACACCGCACAAGCACACACCTCACAAGCACACACCGCACAAGCACACACCTCACAAGCACACACCTCACAAGCACACACCTCACAAGCACACACCTCACAAGCACACACCTCACAAGCACACACCTCACAAGCACACACCGCACAAGCACACACCTCACAAGCACACACCGCACAAGCACACACCTCACAAGCACACACCTCACAAGCACACACCTCACAAGCACACACCTCACAAGCACACACCTCACAAGCACACACCTCACAAGCACACACCTCACAAGCACACACCTCACAAGCACACACCTCACAAGCACACACCTCACAAGCACACACCTCACAAGCACACACCTCACAAGCACACACCTCACAAGCACACACCTCACAAGCACACACCTCACAAGCACACACCTCACAAGCACACACCTCACAAGCACACACCTCACAAGCACACACCTCACAAGCACACACCTCACAAGCACACACCTCACAAGCACACACCTCACAAGCACATACCTCACAAGCACACACCTCACAAGCACACACCTCACAAGCACACACCTCACAAGCACACACCTCACAAGCACACACCTCACAAGCACACACCTCACAAGCACACACCTCACAAGCACACACCTCACAAGCACACACCTCACAAGCACACACCTCACAAGCACACACCTCACAAGCACACACCTCACAAGCACACACCTCACAAGCACACACCTCACAAGCACACACCTCACAAGCACACACCTCACAAGCACACACCTCACAAGCACACACCTCACAAGCACACACCTCACAAGCACACACCTCACAAGCACACACCTCACAAGCACACACCTCACAAGCACAACCTCACAAGCACACACCTCACAAGCACACACCTCACAAGCACACACCTCACAAGCACACACCTCACAAGCACACACCTCACAAGCACACACCTCACAAGCACACACCTCACAAGCACACACCTCACAAGCACACACCTCACAAGCACACACCTCACAAGCACACACCTCACAAGCACACACCTCACAAGCACACACCTCACAAGCACACACCTCACAAGCACACACCTCACAAGCACACACCTCACAAGCACACACCTCACAAGCACACACCTCACAAGCACACACCTCACAAGCACACACCGCACAAGCACACACCTCACAAGCACACACCTCACAAGCACACACCTCACAAGCACACACCGCACAAGCACACACCTCACAAGCACACACCTCACAAGCACACACCTCACAAGCACACACCTCACAAGCACACACCGCACAAGCACACACCTCACAAGCACACACCGCACAAGCACACACCTCACAAGCACACACCTCACAAGCACACACCGCACAAGCACACACCTCACAAGCACACACCTCACAAGCACACACCTCACAAGCACACACCTCACAAGCACACACCTCACAAGCACACACCTCACAAGCACACACCTCACAAGCACACACCTCACAAGCACACACCTCACAAGCACACACCTCACAAGCACACACCTCACAAGCACACACCGCACAAGCACACACCTCACAAGCACACACCTCACAAGCACACACCTCGCAAGCACACACCTCACAAGCACACACCTCACAAGCACACACCGCACAAGCACACACCTCACAATCACACACCGCACAAGCACACACCTCACAAGCACACACCTCACAAGCACACACCTCACAAGCACACACCTCACAAGCACACACCTCACAAGCACACACCTCACAAGCACACACCTCACAAGCACACACCGCACAAGCACACACCTCACAAGCACACACCGCACAAGCACACACCTCACAATCACACACCTCACAAGCACACACCGCACAAGCACGCACCGCACAAGCACACACCTCACAAGCACACACCTCACAAGCACACACCTCACAAGCACACACCTCACAAGCACACACCTCACAAGCACACACCTCACAAGCACACACCTCACAAGCACACACCTCACAAGCACACACCTCACAAGCACACACCTCACAAGCACACACCGCACAAGCACACACCTCACAAGCACACACCTCACAAGCACACACCTCACAAGCACACACCTCACAAGCACACACCTCACAAGCACACACCTCACAAGCACACACCTCACAAGCACACACCTCACAAGCACACACCTCACAAGCACACACCGCACAAGCACACACCTCACAAGCACACACCTCACAAGCACACACCTCACAAGCACACACCGCACAAGCACACACCTCACAAGCACACACCGCACAAGCACACACCTCACAAGCACACACCTCACAAGCACACACCGCACAAGCACACACCTCACAAGCACACACCTCACAAGCACACACCTCACAAGCACACACCTCACAAGCACACACCTCACAAGCACACACCTCACAAGCACACACCTCACAAGCACACACCTCACAAGCACACACCTCACAAGCACACACCTCACAAGCACACACCTCACAAGCACACACCGCACAAGCACACACCTCACAAGCACACACCTCACAAGCACACACCTCACAAGCACACACCTCACAAGCACACACCTCACAAGCACACACCTCACAAGCACACACCTCACAAGCACACACCTCACAAGCACACACCTCACAAGCACACACCGCACAAGCACACACCTCACAAGCACACACCGCACAAGCACACACCTCACAAGCACACACCTCACAAGCACACACCTCACAAGCACACACCTCACAAGCACACACCTCACAAGCACACACCTCACAAGCACACACCTCACAGCACACACCGCACAAGCACACACCTCACAAGCACACACCTCACAAGCACACACCTCACAAGCACACACCTCACAAGCACACACCTCACAAGCACACACCTCACAAGCACACACCGCACAAGCACACACCTCACAAGCACACACCTCACAAGCACACACCGCACAAGCACACACCTCACAAGCACACACCTCACAAGCACACACCTCACAAGCACACACCTCACAAGCACACACCGCACAAGCACACACCTCACAAGCACACACCGCACAAGCACACACCTCACAAGCACACACCTCACAAGCACACACCGCACAAGCACACACCTCACAAGCACACACCTCACAAGCACACACCTCACAAGCACACACCTCACAAGCACACACCGCACAAGCACACACCTCACAAGCACACACCTCACAAGCACACACCTCACAAGCACACACCTCACAAGCACACACCTCACAAGCACACACCTCACAAGCACACACCGCACAAGCACACACCTCACAAGCACACACCTCACAAGCACACACCGCACAAGCACACACCTCACAAGCACACACCGCACAAGCACACACCTCACAAGCACACACCTCACAAGCACACACCTCACAAGCACACACCTCACAAGCACACACCTCACAAGCACACACCTCACAAGCACACACCGCACAAGCACACACCTCACAAGCACACACCGCACAAGCACACACCTCACAAGCACACACCTCACAAGCACACACCGCACAAGCACACACCTCACAAGCACACACCTCACAAGCACACACCTCACAAGCACACACCTCACAAGCACACACCTCACAAGCACACACCTCACAAGCACACACCTCACAAGCACACACCTCACAAGCACACACCTCACAAGCACACACCTCACAAGCACACACCTCACAAGCACACACCTCACAAGCACACACCTCACAAGCACACACCTCACAAGCACACACCTCACAAGCACACACCTCACAAGCACACACCTCACAAGCACACACCTCACAAGCACATACCTCACAAGCACACACCTCACAAGCACACACCGCACAAGCACACACCTCACAAGCACACACCTCACAAGCACACACCTCACAAGCACACACCTCACAAGCACACACCTCACAAGCACACACCTCACAAGCACACACCTCACAAGCACACACCTCACAAGCACACACCTCACAAGCACACACCTCACAAGCACACACCTCACAAGCACACACCTCACAAGCACACACCTCACAAGCACACACCTCACAAGCACACACCTCACAAGCACACACCTCACAAGCACACACCTCACAAGCACACACCTCACAAGCACACACCTCACAAGCACACACCTCACAAGCACACACCTCACAAGCACACACCTCACAAGCACACACCTCACAAGCACACACCTCACAAGCACACACCTCACAAGCACACACCTCACAAGCACACACCTCACAAGCACACACCTCACAAGCACACACCTCACAAGCACACACCTCACAAGCACACACCTCACAAGCACACACCTCACAAGCACACACCTCACAAGCACACACCTCACAAGCACACACCTCACAAGCACACACCTCACAAGCACACACCGCACAAGCACACACCTCACAAGCACACACCTCACAAGCACACACCTCACAAGCACACACCGCACAAGCACACACCTCACAAGCACACACCTCACAAGCACACACCTCACAAGCACACACCTCACAAGCACACACCGCACAAGCACACACCTCACAAGCACACACCGCACAAGCACACACCTCACAAGCACACACCTCACAAGCACACACCGCACAAGCACACACCTCACAAGCACACACCTCACAAGCACACACCTCACAAGCACACACCTCACAAGCACACACCTCACAAGCACACACCTCACAAGCACACACCTCACAAGCACACACCTCACAAGCACACACCTCACAAGCACACACCTCACAAGCACACACCTCACAAGCACACACCGCACAAGCACACACCTCACAAGCACACACCTCACAAGCACACACCTCGCAAGCACACACCTCACAAGCACACACCTCACAAGCACACACCTCACAAGCACACACCTCACAAGCACACACCTCACAAGCACACACCTCACAAGCACACACCTCACAAGCACACACCTCACAAGCACACACCGCACAAGCACACACCTCACAAGCACACACCTCACAAGCACACACCTCACAAGCACACACCTCACAAGCACACACCTCACAAGCACACACCTCACAATCACACACCTCACAAGCACACACCTCACAAGCACGCACCGCACAAGCACACACCTCACAAGCACACACCTCACAAGCACACACCGCACAAGCACACACCTCACAAGCACACACCTCACAAGCACACACCTCACAAGCACACACCTCACAAGCACACACCTCACAAGCACACACCTCACAAGCACACACCTCACAAGCACACACCGCACAAGCACACACCTCACAAGCACACACCTCACAAGCACACACCTCACAAGCACACACCTCACAAGCACACACCTCACAAGCACACACCTCACAAGCACACACCTCACAAGCACACACCTCACAAGCACACACCTCACAAGCACACACCGCACAAGCACACACCTCACAAGCACACACCTCACAAGCACACACCTCACAAGCACACACCTCACAAGCACACACCTCACAAGCACACACCTCACAAGCACACACCGCTCAAGCACACACCTCACAAGCACACACCTCACAAGCACACATCGCACAAGCACACACCTCACAATCACACACCGCACAAGCACACACCTCACAAGCACACACCTCACAAGCACACACCTCACAAGCACACACCTCACAAGCACACACCTCACAAGCACACACCTCACAAGCACACACCGCACAAGCACACACCTCACAAGCACACACCGCACAAGCACACACCTCACAAGCACACACCTCACAAGCACACACCGCACAAGCACACACCTCACAAGCACACACCTCACAAGCACACACCTCACAAGCACACACCTCACAAGCACACACCTCACAAGCACACACCTCACAAGCACACACCTCACAAGCACACACCTCACAAGCACACACCTCACAAGCACACACCTCACAAGCACACACCTCACAAGCACACACCTCACAAGCACACACCTCACAAGCACACACCTCACAAGCACACACCTCACAAGCACACACCTCACAAGCACACACCTCACAAGCACACACCTCACAAGCACACACCTCACAAGCACACACCTCACAAGCACACACCTCACAAGCACACACCTCACAAGCACACACCTCACAAGCACACACCTCACAAGCACACACCTCACAAGCACACACCTCACAAGCACACACCTCACAAGCACACACCTCACAAGCACACACCGCACAAGCACACACCTCACAAGCACACACCTCACAAGCACACACCGCACAAGCACACACCTCACAAGCACACACCGCACAAGCACACACCTCACAAGCACACACCTCACAAGCACACACCTCACAAGCACACACCTCACAAGCACACACCTCACAAGCACACACCGCACAAGCACACACCTCACAAGCACACACCGCACAAGCACACACCTCACAAGCACACACCTCACAAGCACACACCGCACAAGCACACACCTCACAAGCACACACCTCACAAGCACACACCTCACAAGCACACACCTCACAAGCACACACCTCACAAGCACACACCTCACAAGCACACACCTCACAAGCACACACCGCACAAGCACACACCTCACAAGCACACACCTCACAAGCACACACCTCACAAGCACACACCTCACAAGCACACACCTCACAAGCACACACCTCACAAGCACACACCTCACAAGCACACACCTCACAAGCACACACCGCACAAGCACACACCTCACAAGCACACACCTCACAAGCACACACCGCACAAGCACACACCTCACAATCACACACCGCACAAGCACACACCTCACAAGCACACACCTCACAAGCACACACCTCACAAGCACACACCTCACAAGCACACACCTCACAAGCACACACCTCACAAGCACACACCGCACAAGCACACACCTCACAAGCACACACCGCACAAGCACACACCTCACAAGCACACACCTCACAAGCACACACCTCACAAGCACACACCTCACAAGCACACACCGCACAAGCACACACCTCACAAGCACACACCGCACAAGCACACACCTCACAAGCACACACCTCACAAGCACACACCGCACAAGCACACACCTCACAAGCACACACCTCACAAGCACACACCTCACAAGCACACACCTCACAAGCACACACCTCACAAGCACACACCTCACAAGCACACACCTCACAAGCACACACCGCACAAGCACACACCTCACAAGCACACACCTCACAAGCACACACCTCACAAGCACACACCTCACAAGCACACACCTCACAAGCACACACCTCACAAGCACACACCTCACAAGCACACACCTCACAAGCACACACCTCACAAGCACACACCTCACAAGCACACACCTCACAAGCACACACCTCACAAGCACACACCTCACAAGCACACACCTCACAAGCACACACCTCACAAGCACACACCTCACAAGCACACACCTCACAAGCACACACCTCACAAGCACACACCTCACAAGCACACACCGCACAAGCACACACCTCACAAGCACACACCTCACAAGCACACACCTCACAAGCACACACCTCACAAGCACACACCTCACAAGCACACACCTCACAAGCACACACCGCACAAGCACACACCTCACAAGCACACACCTCACAAGCACACACCGCACAAGCACACACCTCACAATCACACACCGCACAAGCACACACCTCACAAGCAAACACCTCACAAGCACACACCTCACAAGCACACACCTCACAAGCACACACCTCACAAGCACACACCTCACAAGCACACACCGCACAAGCACACACCGCACAAGCACACACCGCACAAGCACACACCTCACAAGCACACACCTCACAAGCACACACCGCACAAGCACACACCTCACAAGCACACACCTCACAAGCACACACCTCACAAGCACACACCTCACAAGCACACACCTCACAAGCACACACCTCACAAGCACACACCTCACAAGCACACACCTCACAAGCACACACCTCACAAGCACACACCTCACAAGCACACACCTCACAAGCACACACCTCACAAGCACACACCTCACAAGCACACACCTCACAAGCACACACCTCACAAGCACACACCTCACAAGCACACACCTCACAAGCACACACCTCACAAGCACACACCTCACAAGCACACACCTCACAAGCACACACCGCACAAGCACACACCTCACAAGCACACACCTCACAAGCACACACCTCACAAGCACACACCTCACAAGCACACACCTCACAAGCACACACCTCACAAGCACACACCGCACAAGCACACACCTCACAAGCACACACCTCACAAGCACACACCGCACAAGCACACACCTCACAAGCACACACCGCACAAGCACACACCTCACAAGCACACACCTCACAAGCACACACCTCACAAGCACACACCTCACAAGCACACACCTCACAAGCACACACCTCACAAGCACACACCGCACAAGCACACACCTCACAAGCACACACCGCACAAGCACACACCTCACAAGCACACACCTCACAAGCACACACCGCACAAGCACACACCTCACAAGCACACACCTCACAAGCACACACCTCACAAGCACACACCTCACAAGCACACACCTCACAAGCACACACCTCACAAGCACACACCTCACAAGCACACACCGCACAAGCACACACCTCACAAGCACACACCTCACAAGCACACACCTCACAAGCACACACCTCACAAGCACACACCTCACAATCACACACCTCACAAGCACACACCTCACAAGCACACACCTCACAAGCACACACCTCACAAGCACACACCGTACAAGCACACACCTCACAAGCACACACCTCACAAGCACACACCTCACAAGCACACACGTCACAAGCACACACCGCACAAGCACACACCTCACAAGCACACACCGCACAAGCACACACCTCACAAGCACACACCTCACAAGCACACACCGCACAAGCACACACCTCACAATCACACACCGCACAAGCACACACCTCACAAGCACACACCTCACAAGCACACACCTCACAAGCACACACCTCACAAGCACACACCTCACAAGCACACACCTCACAAGCACACACCGCACAAGCACACACCTCACAAGCACACACCGCACAAGCACACACCTCACAAGCACACACCTCACAAGCACACACCGCACAAGCACACACCTCACAAGCACACACCTCACAAGCACACACCTCACAAGCACACACCTCACAAGCACACACCTCACAAGCACACACCTCACAAGCACACACCTCACAAGCACACACCTCACAAGCACACACCTCACAAGCACACACCTCACAAGCACACACCTCACAAGCACACACCTCACAAGCACACACCTCACAAGCACACACCTCACAAGCACACACCTCACAAGCACACACCTCACAAGCACACACCTCACAAGCACACACCTCACAAGCACACACCTCACAAGCACACACCTCACAAGCACACACCGCACAAGCACACACCTCACAAGCACACACCTCACAAGCACACACCTCACAAGCACACACCTCACAAGCACACACCTCACAAGCACACACCTCACAAGCACACACCGCACAAGCACACACCTCACAAGCACACACCTCACAAGCACACACCGCACAAGCACACACCTCACAAGCACACACCTCACAAGCACACACCTCACAAGCACACACCGCACAAGCACACACCTCACAAGCACACACCGCACAAGCACACACCTCACAAGCACACACCTCACAAGCACACACCGCACAAGCACACACCTCACAAGCACACACCTCACAAGCACACACCTCACAAGCACACACCTCACAAGCACACACCTCACAAGCACACACCTCACAAGCACACACCTCACAAGCACACACCTCACAAGCACACACCGCACAAGCACACACCTCACAAGCACACACCTCACAAACACACACCTCACAAGCACACACCTCACAAGCACACACCTCACAAGCACACACCTCACAAGCACACACCTCACAAGCACACACCTCACAAGCACACACCTCACAAGCACACACCGCACAAGCACACACCTCACAAGCACACACCGCACAAGCACACACCTCACAAGCACACACCTCACAAGCACACACCTCACAAGCACACACCTCACAAGCACACACCTCACAAGCACACACCTCACAAGCACACACCGCACAAGCACACACCTCACAAGCACACACCTCACAAGCACACACCTCACAAGCACACACCTCACAAGCACACACCTCACAAGCACACACCTCACAAGCACACACCGCACAAGCACACACCTCACAAGCACACACCTCACAAGCACACACCGCACAAGCACACACCTCACAATCACACACCGCACAAGCACACACCTCACAAGCACACACCTCACAAGCACACACCTCACAAGCACACACCTCACAAGCACACACCTCACAAGCACACACCTCACAAGCACACGCCTCACAAGCACACACCGCACAAGCACACACCTCACAAGCACACACCGCAC